ACCCAACTTAAGGCCACCTCCGGTGCCAAGCCTTCTCTCATGCCCTTAAATGGAGCTGTTCTCTCCTGCCCCTATAATGAGCATTGTTTTGCCTCTTGTCTTCTTGGGAATATTGGTTGGCCCCATAGTTCTGTGTGAGTGCATCTTATTGCCTTGTCTGGAGTGCAAGCTACCTGAAGCTGTGTCTTCACATCAATTAGACCACTTAGTATCTAACTTCCTTTACCAGAGGCCGTGTAGTAGGGTAGTTACATCATTCAGGCATTCATCTGAGGACATCTGCTCCCTTTCTGACAGTGGGGAGGTCCCAAAATTTCTGTTGGAATGAACTTTATCCAAAAGAGCTGCCCCAGAGTGGAATGAGCCATCCAGAAATGGGAGCTCTCTCTCACTGGTCTTCAGTAAAAGTGAGAAAGCCTTTTGTGGCCGTATTGTAGCCTGACTTCTATGGGAAGGTGAGGTCTCCCTCCGAGGTCCCATCTTGGAAGTTCTATGATTTTCTCCCTGTCTCATCTCTAAAATGAAAAGCTTGGCATGAGCATTCACTAAGGTCCTTTCCAAATTCACGGTGTTTATCTCTTCGGTCAAGCAGCACATTACACACAGAAGCCCTTAGTGGTTGTCTTCCTAGTGAATAGATTCAAGCTTTTCTGAAGTTTTTTCCTCTGAATGAAGTAAGTGCCTGACAGACATTTGAGTTCCTCGCATAATCCAGCAGCCTCCTAAGCAGAGCAATGAGTGTTTACAGCATGATGGACCCAATCCATAGGGAGGACTGAGGCTGAGAGATAGCTACAGGCTTGGACTGGGGGGAGAATGTAAATGTACTCTCCTTTGCTCCACTGTGCAGCTGCCAAGCTTGCTTACTCAGAGGAGGGGATGCCTAAATTCTGAATACCCCAGTGCAGCATTCAGCAAGCTTCTCTTCCCTTTTGTGAAGGAGCAATGAAAGAAATCCCTAGAGGAATAGGAAGTATCAGGCTTCCATGAGATCCCTGCCATAGAGAAGAAGTTTCACAGACCCTATTCGTTCTCCTGTGCCTTGGTTCTACCCACATCAGAAGCATGGATGGAAGCTTGGAAATTATCACAAATCTGTTTGGCCAAGGAGAGCCAGAATTCATTCCAAGGATGTGAACCAGACTGTTGATGGCTTTTGTCTTCATGGGTTGGGCTCCAAGTGGACAGGGCTTCCATAAAAGTCATACTATTCCATCTTAAATGCCAGATTGCGCAAATAAGATGGTGTAATGGCACAGGAGGCAGGACAGCACTGGGTTCAAATCCCACCACCAGTACTTTCTAGCTGTGTGAACAATGGCAAAGCACTTAATTTCTCTGAAGTGCAGTATTTACATCTTTAAAATTAGAATAATAATACTGCAAGTGCCTCATTCAGGACTTATGTGAAGATTGGGCTTTATGTGTTGTTTCCTCCTTTAGATCACAACGTCACAAAGGGCAGAGACTGTCTTTCTTTTTATTAATTGTATTCCCAACACTTAGCACAGTACCTGGGATGTTTTAGGGCTTAATAAATGTTTGTTGGATTGGATTAGAGAGGTAGGTAGGTAGATAGATGGATATGGATGGATAGAAAAATAAAGAGATAGCTACACATATATGTGGATGAATAGGTGTCTAGACAGATAGATGGATAGATATAAATAAAGAGCAAGGTAGATAAATGCTACAAAATGCATAAATGGTTGTGTATATGTATATGTATATATATATGAATGAAAGAAAAGACATATATGTGGGGAGTCAGATGAAAAACCAAAAGATTATAGAGATTTAAATAGCAAAAAAAAGATGGAAATATATTAATTGGTAGATATTCATTAATTAGATAGACAGATGCATTGATAGAAAGATAGATGGGTAGATAGAAGATGGATGGATGGATGGATGGATAGACAGATAGATAGATAGATAGACAGATAGACAGATAGATAGATAGATAGATAGATAGATAGATAGATAGATAGATAGATAGATAGATGGAGACAGCTAGGTAGTATGGTTTATTGAGGATCAGACTTGGAGTCAGGAATATCTGAGTTCCAATCTAGCCTTAGATACTTTCAAGCTGTGCGACCCTGGACAAGTCACTTAACTCTGTTTGCCTCAGTTACTTCATCTGTAAAATGAGCTGGAGAAGGAAATTGCAAACCACTCCAGTATTTTTGCCAAGTAAACCCCAAATGGGGTCGCAGAGAGGCAGACACAACTGAAATGACTGAACAACAATAACAAAAAGATAGATAGATAGATAGATAGATAGATAGATAGATAGATAGATAGATAGATGATAATAGAGAGATCATGAAGTGCTTACTATGTGCCAGATCCTGCATTAAGTAGTGGGGATGGGTGGGATAAATATAGAAGGAAACAAGACAGTCCTGGATCTCAAAGAGTTTACATTCGAGTGAGAGGAACAACACATAAAGAAGTGCTAAAAGGTGTTGTATATGGTATTCAGACATTTTAAAGCATCCAAATACTGTAGTTTCTGCTTTATTTTTCAGTCTGAATTCCCTCAAAAATGTCCAGATCTAGAAGCAGCAGAGTATTTTGGAGCCAAGACTGGGATTGAAGGGAGGAGAAAGCTAGGTTCGCAACTTGCCCTCAACGCTTCCCAGATGGGTGACCGTGAGCCCAGCTGCTCCAGAGCCTGATTTCTTCCTCCTCAAAATGGGAATAATCTAACAACTACCAGGGTTGTGTCAGGATCCCTCGGGATCTCGGGATGGACAGTGCTTTGTGAAATTGGAAATTTGCATGATTATTCTAAATGTCAGTTACTGTTGTTCGTCTCATTGTCATTCAGTGAAAGTTACCATCGTTGTTGCTGTTAGCAGAGTTTTACCCTGACAGTCTCTGTCTGGCCGACTGAAGGCAGCAGCTCAGCCAGTTTAAGCTGAATTGTATCCAAAGTCGTTGAGAAACTAATTAAAACGGAGCGCTGGCGTTCTTGACTTTGGCAGGCTCCCTTCGCTCTCCCCTCCTTTTTGTGCCTAAGAAATGCTTTGAGGCTCTGAGCCCCATAGCTTCACAGACCCCAGAAGCAGGGCCCTCTTCTTCCTGATGCACCACTTAAAAGGAAGCAGAGCTCGGCGGTGCTGCCTTTTAAAATAGGTTCCGTTCCTCTCAATTCAGGTTCAAGGGCTTCCGTGGCCAGCTTAGAATACTTGCTAAAATTGAGATTGGGCTCAGCATGGAGAGCTAGCCTTACTCACATAGCTGGCCCCCTCCATTCTCGGATCTGGTTTAACCTGGGCATCAAGAGCTGTGGACATCTCCTCTGAGCAACTGCCTGCTAACTGCTGGCCACTGGATCTTAAAATGGCTTTGAAATGTGGGGCAAAAGAATGTAGGGGAGGAGGGAAGTGTCTCTGTGTGTGTGTGTGTGTGTGTGTGTGTGTGTGTGTGTGTGTGTGTGTGTGTGTGTGTGTGTGTGTGTGTGTGTGTGATGAACTGCCTGGTAGTGATTTTTTAAAGCTCCACAAGGAGGGGTAGGGTGGTGGGGGGAACATACGAACTTTTGTATGTATGTATATATACTTGTAGGTTATATGTGTGATTTCTTTGTAGCTGATGAGGAAATTAAAACTCCTTCTCCCCATTTCTGCCTCCTCCTACATCAGCCCTACAAATGTAAGAGAATAAGCCCACTCCCTTCAGACTTCCATTCTTCCCAGAGATGATAAAAGATCCTGGACAACAGAAAACAGACTTCCGGAGAGTCAGGGACTGTGCTACCATACACCACTCATTAGAGATGCTGATAGAGCTGGCTTCTGCTCCCACCCTATGACCACCTGTCCCCCAGCCTGGGAGCCATGCCTGGGAAGTGGGGGCTCTCTCTGGCTCACCTCTCTCCATTTCTATGGCAACAGAGAGGGCTCTTGAGCTCCAAGTCTCCTTCCCCAGAGAAGCATTACAAAAAGAGCCCTGGATGTGACCCCAGTGATCCTGCTGGGGGCAGAGCTTAGCTGCCGGTAGTGGCTTCTTCTTAAGAGAGGGGCAGCTGTACTGTGGGCAGAGAACAGAATTTGGAGTCAAAGGACCAATGATCTAAACCCAGATCTTCTGCCTATTTCCTGGATGAGCTTGAACAAGTTATTTTGGCTCTCTAGCCTCTACTTTTTCAATTATAAAATGAAGGGATGGGACTAAATAGCCTTTTGTATTTTGTCTTATGCATTTTTATTGGTACTTGGCTCTCCCATTTGAATTTAATCTCCTTCCCAATAAGGATTAGTTACTCCTTTGGAGCCCCAGCTCCCGCTCTGTCCGGGTGGGTCATCAGTAGTTGCTTAATCAAAACTTGTGGGTTGTTTACTTCCAGGTCTCTTCCCACTTTCAATCTCTCATCCCCTGATTCAAGTCCCAGCCCCACCACATGCAGTCTCTGTGATAGTGGGAAAACTTCTATGAGCTCTCAGCCTAGCATCCAGGACCATTAGTTCAAGGCCATGAATAGATGGGAAGGAGTGGGAGAAACCAAGCTCTTCTTCCTTCTGTGTAAGCCGATCCCTACACAGAGTCAACTTTCCTGTGCCAGAGTTGAAAGACACCCCAGAGGACACGGGCTCTAATCCCCTTCTTTTGAAGATGGAGAGACAGATGGCCAGAGCAATAAAGCATGTGCCCATAATCACATGAGTAGTAATAATTAGTTTGGGGATTTGAACCCAATTCCTCTGATTTCTGGGCTTTTCCCACACCACCACCCTTCTTTTTAATCTGATGCCTCCTAGTTCACAGTTCTGTTCTGTGACCTTTGGTGATTTTGGTCACATGGGGCATCTGGGAGTGACAGTTTCCATTTTTGGACTCCAACTATCCCCAAGTATTGTCAATGCTGTCCCTGAGCAAAGAGCTGAGATTCACACAAAGCAGAGGCATTACATGGGAGTCCATGTGGGTGCCTATGCCAAGTTGGGAAAGGGTAAAAAGAGATTGCCAGGCATAAGCCTCTCTCTCCTTACCTCCACGGAGTCATCAGCATCCACCATCCAACAGTCTGTCCCGGTGGCCACTATCAAAAACCCAACAGAGAAAAATGCCAAGCAACATGCAAAATACTGGTGAAGGTCCCTCATCCTGCCTGGTGAGCTATCAGTTACTCGGTCCAGCAGGGGAAAAAGAGCAAAACCTCTCACAACTGGCATCCAGAAGTCTTCCACACTTTTCAAAGTGGCCTGATTCAGCCAGTGCCTACAGCTGGAGGAGTCAGAGTTTTCTATTTCCTATCACAGCCTTTGGAACCAGCCTTCAAATTGCAGCCAGAAAAAAATCTCATACCCTCCTTAATCCCCAAACAGGTCAGAAAGATCATTATCCTGAGCAACCACCCGCCAATCAGGAGAAGGAAGGCCAGGTCAAGAACCAGTTAGGTCTTGGGCAGGATACAGGAAAGACCTTTGATGGCACCGAATGCCCAGGCTGAAGGCTAAGGCATCCATGGAGTGATGGTCTCTGGCTGATCACTGCTCTTACTTCAGTTCTGGAAGAAGATGGAGAGAAAGAAGTTGGTGCCCAGCCTGGAAAGTGTAAGCTGATCTCTCCCAAGCCTCAGGGGAAAGGGGCTGTTACCCTTCCCTGCTGAATGAGGGTGACACACTTGACTGGGCACAATTTTATTATTAGGACTATTTTAATATTCACTCAGTACTTCAGACATCCAGGTCTCTAATGCAATAGCACTGAACAAACCTTTGCCCAGAGGGGTTTGCATTCCAAGTGAGTGGGCAGGCCAGCCTTCAGGTCCTGGATCCCTGGAGGAGGAAGTGGCTGTACTGGACCGGCAAGAAGGAGAGGAGGGATTTAAGAGAGCCTTGGACCAAAGGCAAGTGAGAATGGAATCTAAGAGCTATTCCCCAAAGAAAAAAGAATCAGAATAACACCTACTATTTATGTAACATTGTAATATTTGCCAAGGGTTTTACCTATATTCTCCACTTTGTTTCTCATAATAATGCTTTGAAATAGATGCTATTTTGTCCTCATATTTCATAGGAGGAACCTGAGCCTGAGAGAACAAAAATGACTTGGCCAAGGTCACACAGCTAGTACTGTGTCTGAGGCAAGATTTGAACTCAGGTCTTCCAGACTCCAGGTCCAGTGCTTTTTTCAAGGACTCTGCCAAAGTGAGGAAAATAAGAGTGGGTTGTTTGCAGAGCCAATAAGTCACATTTTTACAGATTTGTAAAGCACTTCCTTCTCACACTCCAGTAAAGAGCACATTGAATGTTTCCCTGTTCTCATTTTACAGATCAGGAAACCTAAGCTTAGGAAGCCCCAGTAACTTGCCCAAGGTCACAGAGCTAAAAAGGATCAAAAGGAAGAGTTCAAGTCAGTAAACATTTAGTAAGCACTATTGTATGCCAGGCACTATGCTAAGCACTAAGGTCACAAGGAAAGGCAAAAGACAGTACCTGTTGTCCAAGAGCTCCCAGTCTAATGGGAGAGACAACCTGCAAACAGCCATGGACAGAGAATTGGGTACAGGATGTACTAGAGATAATGAGTAGAGGGAAAGCACACAGTGAGCAAGATCAGGAAGGGCTTCCTGGAGAGGGTGGCATTTCAGTCGAGTCTTGAAAGAAGCCAGGGTTCATGGAAGGTGGAGGTGAGGCAGCAGAGTATTTAAGGCACGGGAATGGGGTGGGGGCAGTAAGTGAGAATACCTGGGAGCTGGAGGACCAGCCAGGAGGCCAGTAGCACTAGCTCCCAAAGTCTGTGGGGGAAGGAGGCAGGGAGGCATGAGAAGGCTGGAAAAGAGGCAGCACACAAGCGTCCGTCTTCCACCACTTCATTTCCCTGGCTTCCTCCAAGTCAGATCAAATCCTGCTTCCGGCAAGAGACTCTTCACAGGCCAGCCATCTCCTAGCTGGTTGCCTCCAACATGCCTCTCTAACCACCCTGGATCTACTTCGAGTGTACCTGGTTATTTACATGTGGGCTCCTTCATTGAAATATGAGTTCCTTGAGGACATGGTCTGGCTATCCCTTTCTTTGTTTTTCTTTTCTTTTCTTTTCTTTTTCTTTTTTAAATGACGATCACATTAACAGGCGCATAATAATCTACTAAATGCTTTTTAATTGTTCATTCATTCACTCATCCATTCATCCATTCATTCGTTCTATAAGCCAGCTAGCCATTCATCCATTCTTTCCATTGCCCCATGCTAGTCACAATACAGCACACTCTGGAAGTTCTCTCTGGCTCTCCGCCATGCCAGGAATGCTCTCCCTCTTCATCCCCTGCCTTCTCTGGCATCCTTCACATGTCAGCCCAAAGCCCCCTTCTTAAAGAAGCCTTTCCCATCCTTCATCTCAGCGTTCTCCCTCTGAAATCATCTCTAATGTGTCCTGCATAGCCCTCGTTCACATGTTGTCTCCCCAATCAGACTGAGAGCTCCTTGAAAGGAGGAAATGTCTTTGCCTTTCTTTGTATCCCTAGTGCTTTGCACAGTGCCTGACGTTATTGACTCACTTCAGTCTCACCCCACTCCTGGTGACACAGTTTGGGGTTTACTTTGCAGATACTGGAGCAGTTTGTCATTTCCTTCTCTGGCTCATTTCACAGACAAGGAACTGAGGCAAACAGGGTGAAGGACTTGCCCAGGGTCAAGCTGTTGGGAAGTATATGCATCTGGATTTGAACTCAGGTCTTTCAGACTCCAGGCCCAGTGTTCTCTCCACTGTGCCACCTAGCTACCCCGACATTTGGTAAGAGCTGATGAAAGCCTTGTTGACTTGATTTGCTAGAAAGGGGACTTGGTATCAAATCTCAGCTCTGCTGCTTGGATGCCACTGGGCAAGTGACTTGATCTTCCTGAATCTCAGATTCAATCTATGTAAAAGAACTTCTGTGCTAACCTCAAACTCTTAAGCTCTGATCCTATGATCCTTGATCTGAAGCAGCTTACACCCCAGGGCAGGAGGGGACAAAGGTGTCTGGATACAAGGTTATGGAGAGAGATTTCAGAGGAAGAAATGCCCACTGTATAAGAAGAGAGCGTGCATCTTAACTAGCTCAAAAGTGTGGGGGCGAGGGGGGAGGAGAGGAGGACAGAGTGTGAGGACAGACAGAGTTTGAGAATAGGGCTAAAAAACCCAGGGAAGGAAAAACAGAAGCAAAAAAATGTTGCCAGAGTGGTCAGAAAGCATCAGGTTCTCTAGCAGGCTCCTGGCTCTTGTAACAAAGAAAATCAGTGTGTAAAATGTAAAGGTGGGCAATCCCCCACAAGATGGAGGCTGAGGAGCTTGCTTCCAGAAAGGCATGGCATTGAATCAAAGCAAGGCATTTGTCATGTGTCCTTATCTGCTGCCCATGTGATGAAGACACAGACTCTTGCTGGGTCATGTAGCTCTAACTGGGGCTCAGTGAAAAGTCACTGACCAGCAAAACCGAAGCCTTTCTCTTGGCTTTAAATCTTTTCCCATCTGGTTCTATTATGGTCGTAGAGAAAATCAATATGGCACAGAACGAGGCTCCTGCCTTCCCCATCCCAGGCTGAATTGTGGCCCATGAATTCAGGCCTCTATTCTTTGCCTCTTTATCTTTGTTCTCTCTTACTATTAGGTAAAGAAATACTGGAGAAAGATATGGTTTTGTGCGCTTTGACAGGTCAGAACGGTTAGCACCAGAGATCAGGAAGACTGTAGGGTCCATAAGGCTGAAGGTGAGAAGCAAACTCCAGAGTGACCTGTCTGGGCCAGCCCAGCAGCAGCAGGGATTCAGACTCATCCATTTTTCAGCTGTGACCCATTTGGAGTGAATTTGATTGGGTAAGTGCTTTGTAGAAATCACATTAAGTATGACCAGGTTCTCCACAAGGACTCACATACTATAGGGAGAGGGTGCCCTCGGGTGTTGGGGGAGAATGTTTATACTTTAGTTCTTGCTATATCTTTAAATAAATATCCCTTTGTAAGTGCTAATTCATGGTAATTGGTTCCATGGAACTGAGACACAAATCACTGCTGCTGGGGAGCCGGTGGGGGAGACAGGATATATCAGAATGAGGGCTATAACATTAGAGAAAGACATTCCAATTTCATTCCTTTGAGATTGGCAGTCTCACTCAATACCGAGTTATGGCTACAATGATATGATCAGAGAATCTCCATTTGGACAAGACCTAAGAGCTCATCCTCCTTGAAAAGAAATCCCTTCCTCCACATCCCTGAGAAGCCCTACTTAAAGACTAAAGGGGAATCCACTGTCTCCCAAGGCTGCAGATTCCTTCTGGAGATGACTCCAATCATTAGGCCACTTTTGCTAGTGTTTTTCTTCTCTTCAATCCAAAAATTGACCCCTCAGCAATTTTGTCACTTTGAATTCTGTCCCCCAGGACCAAGGAAAACAAGTGAAAATATTTTTCCCAAAAGACAGCCTGTCAAATACTTGAACACACCTGGAAAATACCACTTAAATCTTCTCTTCCAAGCCAACATAGCCTCTTCCCCAAACAATTCCTGCTACAATACATGCAACTTCTGTTCATTTGGCCTCTACCTGAAGACCTTCGGGGAGAGGGACCTGTAGCAGGCTGCTCCACTCCTGGAGAACTCCGATAATCAGGAAGCATTTCCTGGCATCCAGCAAAATGTTGAACTTTCTGACCCTAGAGCTAAACAGAACACATTCAATTTCTCTCTTATATGATACCTTTCAACTACTTTTAAGCAGTTACCATAATCTCAGCCCCACCCAACGGCTTCCCTTCCCCATCCAAAGTCTGCTCTTCTCCAGACTAAACCTCCCCATTCCTGCAGATGTCAGTCACCCATTCATACCTGCCCTGTGCCATCCTCCCCAGGAACTTTCTCTGTTCTCTTCTATCACTCTTCTGCTGTCTTCCCAAAATAGAAAGGGGACATAGAGAGGGTCAGGCTGTATTACATTATCACTCAACACCATTCCCCAGCCGCATCTTTGAGCTGATTGCCACAGCCAGTATCCATGTTTTTAATGGCTAGATCCATGGAAGTCAGAAAGTGTGTCACTGTGTCAAAGCATCAAGGACTTCATTTTTTTTGCCCCTGTTGAACATGCAGCAACAACAGGCCTGGCCTGCAATTTGGTAGAGATTATCCACTATCCTGGATAATATCAGAAATTCCTCTAAGTCGGCCTCACGTCACCATGGCCTGTGCCCACTCTGAACCAATGTTTTCAAAGATAGCTTGGACTTTCTGCATATCGGGATGCCAGCAAGGCGTTCTCACTCCCTTGCCACGTTTCTTGCATGGTCTCTACAGAAGTAGAAGGCAAAGTTCCCAGTCCTGTCATTTTCGCTTGGGCCTGCAGGTGGCAGCAGCTCTACATCATGCGCTCCACTAGCAGCTGTTTTAAAAGTAGGGTTCTGTGCGGCTGAAATTACTGGTTTCTCAGTCGATAAACACCAAGCACTTACTATGTGCCAGGAACAGTCCTGAATACAAAGGAAAGACACTCTGTGCCCCCAAGGAGACCAAATCTAATCGGGAGCAACGTGCAGACAGCCAAGTAGGAACCAATTAGGCGGAAAAAATTGGCGCTATCCACAGAGCCTTCAGAAGCTGGGACTTAA